AGCAACCGCGGCCCCGCCCCCTCCTCCCCTCAAAGCGCACATCTCCCGGCAGCCGGCTCCGGCCCGAGAGCACCCGGGGGCACTGGCAATGCCGGACTTCAGAACTTAGCAGGAACCATGGAGCCTGTGTTGAATCTGATCGCTTTAGGTAGGCGCTGCATGAGCCACCTTTCCACAAGCCTCACTCAAACACTGCCTGCCGGGGAGCGTCTGAGATTGCCACCCCCTTGGCACGGGGTCTCCTTCCTTCCTCCCCAGGGTCAGACCTGGGAATGCCAGGGCACTACCTGTAGGGGGTGCCCTCTGACCTAGTTCTGGGTCTAAGACATCCCCACACCTGGGGGGCCACCAGGGCTCTCAACCTTAGGGACAGGGCCAAGGCCGCAGCCATTTCCAGCGAGGCTGGGTTTTCCTGAGACTCTGTTTAGAGATGTGTGGGCTGCAGTTCCAGCCCCAGCTCCACTTGGCCAGGGTGGAGCCTCAGGTGCAGCAGCTGTGAGCATTGCCCTACGTGGTCTTTGAGGAAGTTAAGCTCAAACATTCTATGATCCCACAGTTCTTAATACTTTTTTAAAAGGTTAACTAGAAATACTATCTATGTTATTAACTAGTTCAGGCCCAGACTCTCATGCTTGCCATTCAGGGTGTAAAGTTGATCACCAGTCGATTAGACCTAAACTTTTCTCTTTCAATCACTAGAGTCCCTCAAACCCTAGTGGCCCAGGTTTGGGGGAGCAAGCACATTTTTCACCCTCATTTATCATTATTTGCGAGTGTCTGAGCCTGTCTCCTCTCAGTTTATCCACTTACCCTCTCAGTCTATCCACTTCTGTTTCCTCAGCTGTATTCAGCGTACAGCTGGGTTGGATATTGAGGTCTCCAGGGCCTCTCAGCCACCTTTGTTTTCATGGATAAAAAGGAGTGGGTGGGTGTTCTAGGACCATCAATTATGGACAGGCTGTGTTAGGCATGGGGTGACGAGTCCTTGCCTTCTGGAACTTCTCCTGGCCCTGAATCAGACTAAGGGCCTCAGCAGAATTCATCTTTCCTGTATCCAACCAAGCCCAATGAAGCCATCCAGCTGCTCTCCCTCTTCCAAGAACCCAGGAGTTTGAGGACCCCCTAGTCCTCTCTTCCCCATCTCTCCACACATCTCGGGTCTCTGGGCTGGAGTAGGAGAGCAAGGTTGTAAGGCAGCTGGCTTGTGCCCTGAAGAGTCCAAGAACTCCTCATGTAAGAGCACAGAGATGGGAGGCTGAGGGGAGAAGGTGAGGGTACTCAGGGACTAGTCTTCCAGAGTGGTATCCCATGGCCCTGCAGCCAGATTCAGCAGGTTACAGGGTGAGGTCATGTCTCCAGCAACCTTTACCTTCTTTCCGTGCCCAGGTGCCCAGTGCTCCATGCAGGCCACCTGGCTTATCGAAAGCTTCCCACTCCACCCAGTTTGCATTTCCTGGCAATAGTCTACACTCAGACCCTTCTAGCTTCCTTTCTCCTTGGGTCGGGTCTGGGGTTTGATGTGTTAATGGGAGGTAATGGCCTTAGCTAGTAATGTGGTGAAGTCAGCACTCACCCTGCCTTTCTAGAGCCAAGAGGAGGCGAGAGAGGGCTAAATGCACTCTAATCTCTGTTTCCCTTGGAGGAAAGGCCCGAGAACCTGGCCTGGCCAGGCCCAAGCAGTCAAGGTGGTTTATTCTAACCAGAGACAGGGGTCTGAATCCATATTTAAGTGGCTGGGGAAAAGTCACAGGAGCTCCCTCCCTGCTCCATATCGGCCCACGATTTGGGCAGGAGGTTCTAATCAAACAGAGTTCAGATACTGTTCTGGAGCCAGTGCTGTCATTGGGATCAGTTATCATCAACAATAATAAAGAGCAGCATTTACTGAGCACTTACATCCAGACACTGTGCAAGGCACTTTGTATCATTAGCTTTTTTTTTTTTGCATCATGAACTCTTTTCATCTTCACACTAACTCTCTGAAGTAGGTGCTGTTTATTATACCCTCAGTCTACCATTGAGGAAACAGAGCGAAAAGGTAATAATTCACCCGAAGTTGCATAGTTAATAAGTAACAGGGCCAAGATTTGACCTCAGGTCTCACTCTAGCCCATCCTTAGGCCTCCATGCTCTACTGCCTCCCTCACTTTAGTGGATTGTGACCAAAAGCTGTGTCCATAGTTCAGACCAAGCCAAGGTCACTGGGTCTGGGTCAAGGGTGTATTGGAATTGGCTCTTAGATGGCTTGTAAGAGCCCACATAAGCATCTTTCCAACTCCTAGTGACATCAATCAGGTTGGTAGCCTGAAACAGGCCCAGTTAGGAGTATTTACACCATGAAAATTGACAAGTGCTACAAATCAGGGCTTTTTTCCTCCCAGAATACCTCTGGGCTGGGTGCACCAGGAAACACTGGGCCCTACATGCGCTGTCAAAGCATTAAAGAGAGCACACAAAAGGAACAGGTGGAATCTAGACACCTCCGAGCTGAGCCCAGGCCTTCTCCCCAAGGGATCCAGGTCTGCCAGCTTGTTCTGGGAAGGTGCTTCTAGTCCCAGGACCAGGCTGGAGAAGCAGAAAATCCCCAACTTGGTGCCTAGTCCAAGTTCCACTAATTACTAATCATGGGAGTTTAAGCAAGTAATTTAATCTCCCATGGGTAGAATGGGGGCAAAACAACAGTGACTTCACTGGGCCTTATGAGGCTTGTGTCACAGGTGTGTCAGGACTTGGTAGACTAAGCTGGGACCGTCAAGAAAGTGTCCTGTCCTTTTCTAACCTGAAGATCTGTATGACCCCTCCCTCCCCCGCCTGCAGCCACTCTTGGTCCTAAGAGGAAGGTGGTCAGTTAGCCCAGAAGCCCCCAGTTCCACAGTGCAGTGCTACTCCCCCACCTGCTGTCCAACACAGTCAGCTCTTACCTACTTTGGACCCTTAACACCACTCCTGTCAAGGTGGAGGCAGAATGGAAGTTGTACAATGCTGGGCCACTCAGCTGTCTCAGAAGCTGACAACTGCTACTCTCTCTCAGTTCCTTCTGTACTTGTGTGGGCAGTAAACAGAGAAAAAAGGTCCAGCTTCCTACTTATTTTGGAATAAGTTTAAAACAAAATAACCAGTATTACTCAAGTAACCTCATACATGGTGGGGCCCAAATGCTCCCTGAGGTAAAATCAGGCTCACCTGCCCAGCCCAGGGCCCCTGCTGGAATTAGAATGGCCTCAGACAGACAACAGAATGGTTCTTGCACGCAAAACATTCTTCTCTTTCCGGGAGCCTGAGGGCGAGTCAGATTCAATTAGGTACAACAAGAACAATGGCATTCAAAATAAGAGCCATTTATTACAAAAGTCAGTGGCCTCCAATTATCTGTGGAAACTTTATTTATATATATATAAAATGTGGCTCAAGAAGTTGGCTGGAGCTTGGGCTGACTAACAATGTCTTCCTCCTCCACCCGCAAGTTTGCAGGATTTGTCACATTTCTGACAATTCCTGGGGGCTGGAGGCCACATTCAAAGCACCACCCAGGAGCCCCTCTCCCCAGCATGTTCCAACAACAGAACTTCTAAGCACTTGAAGCTGCATCAAGCCAGTGGCCTTGTCCCCAGAGAAGCATCTACCAGTCTGGGCAAGGAGAAGAGGGAGTGAGCAGACAAGTCTCCTTCTCCCATCCTTGGAAAGCAGTGGAAGAGACAGAGGAACCCTTTGGCCCCAATGTAGCCAAATTAGCAGGAGAGATGGGCAGGGAGTTGCCTGAGGTTCCTCCTTCCTCACCCGCACTCAGAGTGGCTGCCCTCTGGCTCCTTCAGAGCTCCTCCCCTCCAACAAGTTCCTATTAGGAAATACAAGGCACAGGGAACATCAGCCACCTCCTGGTTGTCACTGTGGGCCATTGTTCTTTGCTAGGAGCCAAGCACAGATTCCTGCATTCTACCTCCAGGAGAGCCCACCCAGATGGCTGCCCCCACCCAGCTCAGAAGCTACCAACTCCACCTATGGGAAGGAGGGGAGGCAGAGGTAGGGTGGAAAGGGTGAGTAGAGGTTTCTCCATCCTGTTCTCCTTCCCTTCCAGAAATGCAATTAAGCAAGCAGCCCAGACTCAGCATACAGGCAGCGCTTCCTGCTGGGGGAAGTCAAAAGGGCTGTAGCCCTGGGAGAGGGAGGTCATCAGGCCCCAGATCTAATTAACAAACCTGCCTTGCTTTTGATGTTGCTGTATTTCCTCTATTAACATTAATGATGGTTGGTCTGAACATCCAAGCATGGCCAGAAGCTTCCCTCCCCATCACCCAGTAGGTAGCACAGCCTGTCCCCAGGACCAATTTCCAGTCTCCGTGGCAACCGCCTCCAAAGATGCTCTCAAGAGCTCTGACCCTGTCAGAGTTGGTAGGGGCTACAGAGGAGGGAAGATGGAGTGTGGCAGATTCGACATTAGCCTTGAAGCATCACAGTCCTCTGAGACAAAATAAATACTCTGTCATGCACTGGAAGGAGGGGGGGCAGGCGGAAGGCTGGTCCTGGGTTGGTTCAGTTGTGACCCAAGGGTTTTCTTAATCCCTTTCATTTGGGGAGGAAGTGAAAGGAACAGCTCTGAGCTTCCTGCTTGGGCTTCAAAGTGATAGAGAGGAGAAGCTTTAATGCATTTCTAGGTACTCCGGGTCTTAGGGGGAAAAGAGATTGATGATACAGAGAAAGGGAAATGAAATGGAGTGAAAGAAGGTATCAGCAGGGGAGGACTTGAGAAGTAAAAATAAGGAACACTTAGTGAGTGACACTGAGAACCCAGCCCAGTACCATATAGACACCTGCCCTGCCACACATCTGCCTCGACTGCTAACTAAGGGGCACAGTGGCTCTCCCAGCTGCCAGCTGGAGGAATAGGGAAGGATGGGCAGCAAGAAACCGCCTCTGGCCCCCAGGGCCCAGGAACACAGAGCAGCCAAGGGTAGGACACCATTCTTCACACCGATCTCATTGTGTGACATTCTCAGAAAGCAGGAAACCAAGGGCCAAGGAAGGCCAGCCAAGGGCTGGTGAATCCTCAACTGCCTGGCTCTGCAGCCAGTGCTTTGTGAACAGTGCAGGCACGAAGTCCAGCCACCTGCTGCCACCTAGGAGACTAGCCAGCAGCAGCCATGCCAGGAAGCAGCTGAGGCCGGCCTCTAGCTCAGGGGTGCTTGGCCATACTTGTTTGTGAGGAGAGTAGCACAGCTCTGCCAGTCTCATCTGCTCTGCTGTTGCTGATGTCCAAGGTGGGGCCAGAGCTCTCAGCCCCCTTGGAGGTCAGAGGATTGTTGCTGGCTCTTACAAACCAAATCCAGTGTGAAAAAATATCAAAAAATACTACTGTAACCCTGGACTATCTCTTAGAGTTTATGACACTCAGCTGTCTGCAGTCACAGTCTATATTCCACCGGTATCTGGACAAATGTGCCCTAAATCCCGGACTCCCACCCACTCTCTCGCACACTTATCCTTCCTTATGTGGCACACGTGAGGAAGCAGCCTAAGAGACATCCTTGGTGCTGAGCCATCCCAGGCGGTTGAATCTGCAGACAGAGCCGGGGCTCTTTCTAGTGTTGAGTTAAATTCCAGGTCTGCTCCTAGAGTCTGGTCCTGCCAGGTGACAGAATTCCTCAGGATCCTCGGGAATCTTCGTCCACAGCTGGGAGGGTACAGGGACTGGCACCACAGCTGGCTGCCCCCAGGAAGTTCCTGGACTGAGGCTAGAGTCCTTGCAGTAGCTTCAAAAGTCCCATGATTCCATCCATCTTAGTCCTGCCATTGGACTTTGGGGATCCTGGGCTAGGGGACCAACCATCCCGTAAGCCAGAGGGTGGAAGAGGTAGAAGCTGTGAGAGAGAATCAAAGGGAGGCAGTTGGCATCCCGGTGCCTCCCAAGGCCAGCAGCCCTACAGATCTTTGAAATGCAGCTCCTCCTGCTGGAGCTCATCAGATCTTCTCCACCTTTAAGACCCATTCCCTCTTGTCCCCATGTCTGCCTGAGTTAGCCCTCGGGCACACTGGAACCTGAGAGCTTAGTAGATGCTGACTTAGTGACAGGAGAGAGACCAGTCCAGGGGTCTGCTCATGGGCTGTTTGGTCCAGAGTGTTTGTTAAAACGTGAAAGTGCTCTTAGGTCACAGGTCACCATTCCTTGTTCATGTTTTCATGTTGCCCCCTGGCCCTTACAAGCCAATGACTCTCAAGAGAGGATCTGTGAGACTCACAAAGTGGGGAGAGGAGGATGACTTTCCAACAATACCCTCCTTCCAGTTATTCTGAGCCACACCAGACCCCACACCCCTGGACCCACCCTCTCCCTCACCCCACTGAGTGCTACTCCAGGAGGAAGCCACTAAAGAGGGGTGCCCCCCAGGTGTGCTGGTAAGAGAAAAGCTGGAAACCACTGGCATAAGGAAAGTATGTAAAGAGTGAGCCCATGTTTCTCCTATTGGCTGCACATTAGGGTCACCTAGGGAGCTTTGGAAATTGTGACTGACAGGGCCCAAAACTGGCCTCAAGTGAGTCAAAGGTCTGGAGATAGGGCGCCCTGGCACCAGCAGGCTGGAAAGCACCCCAGGCGATTCTAAAATGCATCCAGGGCTGAGGCATCAGGGTGGGGCCGGGGAGCAGCAATGCAAGGTGCAGGGGATGCTCACCTGTAGGCAATTCCCAGGAGCAGGCTCAGGACTCCCCCGACATGGACGACACTGGCCAGAGAAGAGGGAGCCAGGCTGCAGGCACAGAGCCTAAGGAGAGTGTCCCACAGAACGCCTAGTGGAAAGAACAGAACTCTGCACAGCCTGTTGGAGGATGGCTCGGGGTCACAGAGATGCCCTCTCAGCACTGCTGCTCCACGGTGGCCTCCTCTCTGCCCGATCCCACCCTCATCACCCAGCCAGGTGGGCAGTGCTGACCTGTCAGCATGCTGGAGAAGAGCATGGCTGGGAAGTAGTGGTGGAAGTAGAGGACCCGGCCCATCAGGAAGAACGGGAAGTAGTGGAGCGCCCAGCCAAGCAGCAGCTGCCCACCTCCTCGCAGCAGCACCTGGGACAGCCCTGGGCCCAAGGAGCACAGCCCCAGTCAGCAGGCAGGGAGGGGCACAGATCCCGGGCTCCAGTCCAGCTCTGCCCCTTCCTTGCTATGTGCCACGTCACCCAACTTGGCCTTCCTTACCTCACCTGGACCAAGCCAAACAGCACTCCAGCAGCTGGCGGAGAGATGAGCAGCTGACTCTCAAGAGCCCTGCTCACTACCCACCCAGCCCAGTGAGGCCTCAGCACCTACGGCAGGGGCACCAAACACCAGCAGGAGGCGGCACAGCTTCTAAAGAAACCAAAATCCTGCACACCCCACAGACAGCTTCCCCTCACCTCCATTCCCCACATCTCTGCTGCCACACAAATCTTTGCAGCAGCAGACAGGGCAGAGGTGAGGTCAGGGAGGGTGGAGCTGCACTAGAAGGGAGTCTGGGATTCCGGCTGTTCAGATAGGGAGCTGCAGAGGCCAAAGCAGCCTGTGTGACTATCTCAGATGCTGTGGTCCGTGGCCTGGCAGCTAAAGCTATCGGAATAATACTAGGATGGGAACCCACAGACTGTGCCCTGGGGGCTCCTCTCTCCCCACTAGAGGACAGGGCCATGGAACAAGGAGGGGGCAAAAGAGAAAAGATGGGGAGCTCTGTCAGAGCACAGAGGTTACAAGTGAAGACTCTGAAATCAGGCTGCTGGGGTCTAAACCTCAGTTCTATCAGTTACCAGCATGTCCTGGGACATGTTTCTTAACCTCTGTGCCTTAGTTTCCAAGCCCACAGAATGGGGTGATAGCCCCCAACACAAGAACTGCTGGGAGGGTGTAGTGTTTAACACAGCACCAGGCATTTGGTGTCCACACACTGTAAAAAGCAAAGGAGAAGGGAAGGAGTGGCCCACCAACAGGCAGGCCT